TTTTTTTTTTGTTAGAAAGAGCCAAGTCTGAACTACAAATTTTGTATGAGACATATTTTTCCAGAACGAATCTGAGACGGAGGAAAATCTAAAAGGCAAAACCTGTAAAAAAGTTCTTGAACTCTTTTTGCAACTTGAAAAGTCTCTATTTCTCAATTATTTTAAGCTACATGGGTCAAATTTGAAGAAAAAATACACCAAAATGTAGCGCATCAAAAACTCTATAATATCAGCTTTGAGAAACATTTTGGATCCATTCTTGGCTCTTTAATCAATCAAGCTTGAAACACGAAATTTTTGCAAAATTGAGCCTTTTTCAAGAACTATCAGTTTACAAAAATATCAGCCATCATCTCCAGAAATCATGCATGAACTGAATGCTTTTCGCGTTATTTGGTCGAAATATATCTAATCATAGAATTTTAGCAGAAAAAAATATATTCAAAAAATATTTTTTGTCGCCGTAAAACGATCAAGTAGTGAGAACGACCAAATGACTCAGTCTCTTTCAGAAAAAAGCTATTTATTGATACAAATCTAGGAATAGATTTAACTTCCAATACATCATTAGAAAGAGCACTATTTTCACTACAAAAACATCATTGAACGTGTTTTCTCACTCCTGTTCTAATATAAAAAAAAAGCTAACAGAAAACAGAAAATGATGTTGCTCGATGGTGAAGTTGCAAGAACTTTTTTAGAGGTTTTGCTTTTTGGCTTTTCCTCCGTCTCAGATTCGTTCTGAAAAAATATGTCTCATACAAAATTTGTAGTTCAGACTTTGCTCTTTCTAACAAAAAAAAAATTTGATTTATTCAGAAGTTGGTAATATAGTCTAACAGGACTTGATATTTGTGCAAAGACTTTTGCATCGCTCATTATTAAAAGCACATCGATTTTTTTAAAATATATTGTTTTTATTGTATCTATGAAACAGGGTTGACAATGATAAAAACGCACGTCAATTAAAACAGAACCGCATACATATTCTATAATTGCTATTAACATGTTTTCAGATAACATAATTTATTTACACAATATTAATACTTCTCTTTCTGGTAGTCGATGGAATAGCCTTAAAAGTCTGTTGATCGAGAAAAACATTCTCACTAATTTGAATCACGACAGAATTATAATTTTAAGCCTTAAGATTTAATCGAAAAAAATTGGAGAAATTTTTCGAAAATTTTCACCGCTGCCGCGCCGCGACCGCCAAAGTAGATAAATTGCCGCTTCCGCTGCCGCCGTGGCGATCGCGTCGCGGCAGCGGCAGCGCCGCTATGGACACCTCTGTTGTGGAGTCAGGTTTTTTTATTCCGAAACTCGACTCCGAAAATTTCTATTTTTTGACTCTGATTCCAACTTCGTAAAACTTCCCTAAACTCCGAAATTGTTTTCTCGAACGTAAACGGCCTCGAATGTATTTTATTGTTTAATTTTGAACATGTGTAAATCGGTAAACAAACAAAGGAAAAAAAGAAAATCAAAGAATCCTTAAAAGATTAATTTCGAATTTCTTTTTCATTTGTTGTGCAGCAAAAATAAAAAACAATAACTTGGAAATATTCGGCATGTACTATGCCCAAGCAATAGAGTCCTGCATGGAGTCGATTTAGGAGTTGTCATTGAAATCAACCAAATTTTACGCTAAAAATTTCGCTTTAGCATAGGAAATTTTTTGAATGATAGGTTTTGTTCTCTGATATTTATTGTATAAACTGTTGCATTTTGGAGGCTCCAACGACTGGTTATCAAAACTTATAGATATGAAAGAAAGTTGGAATTTAATGAAATCGGAGTTGAACTTGACTCCGATTTTCTTTCACGTCCATAGGTTTTGATAACAAGTCGTTGCAAGCTCCAAAATGCATCAGTTTATACAGTAAACATCAGAGAACAAAACCTACAGTTCAAAAAAATTCCTGTGCTAAAGCGAAATTTTTAGCATAAAATTTAGTCGACACCAGCGACGACTCCGAAATCGAGTCCGTGAAGGATTCTACCAAGCAAGCGATAATCGATGACGACGAGAATTATTGTACTTTGGATGATACTGGAATATTTTTTGACTAATGGTATTATATTTTTATGAGGTTGACCTTTCGAATATCATAGCCAAAAGATGACTCTTTTTTTGTCCTGAAATTCATTCTTAATACATGTAGTGAATGCTGTCTTTCGCTTTTCTTGTTTGTTAATATGAAAAATAAAGTTATTGTAGTATCAAACAGCAAAACTTCATTAGAAGTGGTTATATTTTAGACTCCGATTTGCCTCGGAAAAATTTTTTCAGTAAACCCAACTCCGAGTTCGACTCCAGAAAATTTTGTTTTGCTGACTTCGACTCCATCGGAGTTAAAATCGAGTTTCAGAGTTCCCCGCAGATCACTACCTCACACCCCATACCCACACCATGATCCGCATTCTCACATACACAAACGCACACACGCAATAACACTCACACACCGCCATTTCTCTCAGTGCCAAATATGGAAACGAGAAAATAAAACCTGTAATATCACAATAACAACCAATTCAACACTTCAAGATAAAAGACAAATAAGTATATGTATACATGCGATATGGAAGAGAGAGAAAAAATATGTTCTTTTAGGACATTCTTCGGAAGGAGAAAGAAAAAGCGTACGCAGAGAATCAATAAGTGCATGATTGTTCTGGAAAGAAAACATTATACAGCTAGCTCTTTCTCTTTTCTTAGATGCGACTGAAGAGAAGAAAAGAAAATGAAATCAACAAGAAGGAATAAATTTATATAAGGCACAGCAGAAATAACTGATAAGAAGTACAGAGTAATCCAACATTCATTTTACAGAAGGAAAGAATTTGAATATCTCTCCTATATTTTCACTACATGGGCTGATTTTGAACCAGGAATAACAGAGCACTAAGGTACGACAAAAGTTTGACCGATTAAACTGAAACTTTCATTTCAAACTATCTATGTTTTCTAATTGAGCCAAAATGTCCCCTGTCCCAGCACAAATCCTTTCACCAATGCCAAGATTTCTGCAATGTTTTGTGCAGATGCTATGGTGACTGCGTGTTGCTGTAACTACAAGACTTTCCCTCTTTCTCTTCCTTTGAGACATTGAAGTGAAATATGTGGATGCAAAGTTCGCCTCACGCATCATAGGAATAAACCATCGGCTTATTGTCTCCTATACAAGAGAGTGTGCACAAATATACTAGACATAATTTTCTTATGTTCCATAAACGAAAAAAAGCAGGAATTCATTTTATCATACTGAGCTAATCTTTGAATATCGTCATATGATGATTCACTCATTTTTTTTGTCTTTCAGATGTTTGTGTCACACGTTATTACCTCTTGTATTATTGACATAACACATATGTCATGTGATGCGTATTCTTTATTAACAGCAAATCGTTCAAAAACTTCTTTGTTCTCGATTTATGCATATATACCTTATTATAGAGAAATAAAATTGACAAAGAATAATTTATTCGAGACAAAGAACATTTAACATAAATAGAACATACGAAATATTTGGTGATTAAATGAATTGAATATTAGATATTTCAAGAAATCATAGGACGACATTCAGCAAGAATATTTCCATCATTTGAATGCAAAGAACACATTGTTGGAAATTGTTTTGCACAATTCATTGATATACAAGCATATTTTGAATCATAACATCGATTACCATTAATAAGTGCAAAACTTCCTTTTGTTTCTGTTGCATAACAATCTTTACCTTTGCAGCATTTACAAAGACATAATCCTCGATCATCGGATGGATAACGCTGACCATTGATCAATACTAATATTGTTAGTAATAATAAATAGAAGATTGATGAATACATATATTTTTTCTTGATTGAATATAAATCTATGATTTAATGGATCACAAAGTGGCAATTGAATGTCGACCTTCAAATACTTTCTGTACTTATCATTATGAGAAAGTTAAAGTTACCGTCCAGATGTATTGTTTTTTTTTGTATGATAGAGAATACAGATAAACTGGAAACATACTAACAGAATAAAACGAAAGTGGTAGAATGTAGCTTTCATTCTTATATATTACTAGATATTATTCTGAATTACATGCAATTATATCATTTTCGATACTGTTGTTTCGAATCAGATCAAAATGTAATAAAAAAAATTCAGATGTCAGATTGTACAAGAACGGTGTAGGAATTGGTCAACTGAAGACAACAATCACACGCAGACGCATACCCTCATCCAAGCTCACATCCTATTATAGACGAGACATTCTACTATGTATTCATGCAAAGAGGATCTCAATATATTCAAAATAGTTACTCTGACATTATCTTAGAGTTTTTAGTTAAAGTTTTGTTTTTACACTAATCAAACTATAAAAGTATTCATGTTGTCAGATAAAGTACGCTAATATCAAGTCCTATAAATATCGTCATTTTATTTATTTAATGATATCGGATATCACTTGTATCATTGAATGATAGAGTTTTTCTTTGTATCGAATTCGTCAATGCATTGATAGTATTACATGATGTTTAAATGTAAAGATAAATTTTAGTATTACTCATGTTATAATTATTAGTTGTATTAAGTCACATAGTGTAGACTGAAAAAGAAATTATTTAATATTTTTATTCTTTCGAAACATTAAATATATTATTAATATCATTAAGCCTATCACGAAGAAAATATTCGTATTAAAACTAGGAAGAATATTTGTACTATCATTGCCATTTGATGTTCTATTACATTGCTTTTGTTTGAAATCTTCATATTTTGGTAATTGAATCAACGTTAAATTATGAAGATTTTCTGTTCGATCAAATAAGACCAAACGTGAAGCATTATTATAAAATTCTTGCTATTGAGTAGCTAATTGTGATGTCCAATGAATATTCATTAACCATTCTTTAAATTCGTCATCATCAAAAATCGATCTAAATAATTAAAAATAGAATAAAATTTAATTTTTTTTTGTTTTATAAACAAAATGATAATATTCATTTTAAATTACGATAAATTTTTGTTCATTAACATTTTCCATGAAGAAGTTATCACTTTCACCTCCCTAAAAATAAACAAAAAAAAAAAAACTTTAATATCACAAATAAATTTTTATTGATCAATGTACTAAAGTAATACTCGTTTTATTCATTGTATTATAAACACATCGAGTCGCAAATTCATCACCCTAAAATATTCGTAGAATATATGGAAATGAAAAATAAAGTATTTATTTCTTACTGGATATAATTTAATTGGTTCTATAAAACGATTTTGAAATTGATAATGAAAATCGAATGATTCACCATTAAATAAATATTGTACAGCTTTTTTATTTCGAATTATTTTTGTCCATATACTTCGACCTATATTTCAAATAATTCTAATAAATAATTTATTTCTTATTTTGCATTGTAAATGAGCATGTAGAAAAGTTGATATAATTGTAATTTCAGATATTAGAATATTCTAAATTAATAATAATACAATCTATCCAAAAAAAAAACTGCTAGTGCAATTCTTATGGGATTAAAATATGAAACACAATGTAGTTACTCTTGCTTATCATATGAAGATTGTTTTATTCTATTTATTGTGACATACATTCCTTCATCATCTTTTTACTTAGTCCTCCAGAAATGTAAAAAGGAAGCAATTCATATATTATAACAAGACGTTATTGATACAGTGACGAAGTCAGGAGGCTCAGCCCTAGCCACAAATTCTGGCTCTGCCACTTTATTGATATACGGTATATCAACAATGTTTGTTATGGTCTGTAAGAAGGCGCGCAAATTTCTAGCTCATGTCCAGAATAATGTGCATTACCAGATTGATCGACTCATTCAACACTAATATCAGCATCACTTATTCCATCAGCTAAATTTAACACATTGAAGATCAATATTCTATTAAAATAGATACTTACATGAACTGATATCTAAAGCAATCCATTCAGGTTGTATGAATATGTAATTTAAAGAGAATTTCTTGTTTTATTTCATTTGTTATCCACGAAAGATCACCAATATTTGTTGTGAGTTCAACTGAATGATTGTATATGGTAGAATTGAACTTGGTTTTCCATTACTAATTTCAATGCGAAGTAAAAATACAACAAGATAAAACAATATTATTCTTTTCAAAAGATTCATTTTGAAATAATGTATAAAGTATACTGAGTAAATGAGACTTTCATGAATACGAAAAACAAATTAATTATATATCGGTTTGTATATTTGTGAAATAATTGCTTACATACTAATTTGTTATATTTGAAAAAGTATTTTAAAGAGAAGAAACATGAAAATATGAATGAATCCTGAGTTTTATATAAACACAATATTATGAGTTCATTAAATGACATTATACAACATCAAAATGAATATTTTTACAACAGGATAAAGATACCAAAAAAAAACGAAATGAATAATTGAAATATTAATAAATGTCGACGGACAATGAGGCAAAAGTGCACATGATAAGATTGATTAGAACATGTTAAACATAGTTTTATCAAATGACTTGAATTTGATGCTATTGTTGTGTAATAGAAATGACAGGTGTCACTTTCGTAATGCGACAGCATAGCGTGAAAATCTTCAATGGTTGCCGTATATCTTGCAAACTAGCAAGAAATAAAAAAGAATAAGCAATCGTATATGGAAAGGTATTGGAGTAATCCAAACAATGACTTTTCTTTTTACCAAACTTTGAATTCCATAAGAATTTTCCAAGTTCAATGGTAAAATAGCCTACATTTGTAGCCACAAATAAGTAGAAAACGAGGACCAATAGCAGTGCCATTCTACGGATTTGAAGGGTGTGAGCAAAATGCAAAGCGACATCCACACCCACAGCCCTGTTTCTCACGTATCGTTCTTTCATTTTATGTATTATTCAATGGTATTTAATGTCAGAAAAAAGTGCAATAGGCCGAATCAGATTCTTATGCACTCCCCTTCTTTCTTAAATTTCCAATACTTCTAAAAGCTTTTAATTTGCACTACTGTGTGATTATCGAGTTGACGGAAATTGCGGAAATCTGAACATACCTCATTTTCTTGTCAAAATATTACATTGGGACCTATTCATAGGAGTAGGAAATATGTGGACATAGCTCGCGGGGTCCTTTAAGCACATCGTTTCTATTACTATAGCAATGGTTTTTTTTGTTTTAAAGTAATGTCAATAGTTTTGAAGAAATGAAGGTGCCCATAGTGTTTATGCATTCGAACACAATTGTCGTGCTTATATAGGACCTCCTACTATTCGCAGAAAATCTAATATGATGTTTCAGCATTGATGAACTCATATTATAATAAGGGACAAATAATTGAACCATTGGTTCAATCTAAGAAGAGGACAAACAAGATCAACTCGTGATAATGATTGAAATCTTTAGCTTGAAACGGCAATTTTAAAATTGCTAGGGTTTTGACCTCAAGCAAAGGCAAAGCCTCTAGCATTTTGGCATTGTATTCATGAGCTATATCCGTCCACTAATCGGAAATCAAGATCTATTCTTTTTAGCAACAATTTTCTGACTATGATCAGATTAATTCGACTATCTTTCCTTGAATCACAGCAGCAATGAGTCACAGCTCTTATTTTCACAATACATGGTATGCATTCAGGTCAGCATGATCGAAAATTCAAAAAAAAGTATTTTCAAGATCGTAATAAGGAAGACAAAATACTGATTTTGAGCATTTATTCAGAGAAAATAATCGAAAAGAGTAAGAATATATAACGAGTTCGTTTTATGTTTAAGTCAACAATTCATCAAAATGATGTTTTCAAGCATAATAACTGTGGGAAAAGAGTACATCAGTCAACGTGACAAGTTGATCATCAGTCAACTTTTTTCGATGTTCATGCCATGAATCGTGATGAGTACGACGAAAATCAGATAGACATTCTTTAATCGATTTCTGAAAACAAAGAATTCTCTATTAACACATAACAACTGCTAGAAAAGTATACTCACTTGTATCATATGCGGATCGTGTGAGTGTTCACAGAGAAGCATTAATATGTCTGGCAGATATGTTGGAATATCATATGGACTCGAGAGAACGATGGCACAGAGACCCAACACACCTAAAATGATGACATGTTACATATTTGCTCGGAAACTTTCACTGTGCATATAGTATAAAAGATTGATTCTAAATATTCAACAACGTGATCGATCTTTTCTCCTAGGATCTTTATATCTATCAGATAGCAGTTTCAAGCAATCAGTTTCTTGAAAAAACTGCAATACTAATTCAGATTGATCTGTTAAATTCTAGTTGATTCATCAACTCTTATTGTCCTCTAATATCCTCTTATCGACTAGTGGAAGTTCAAGATGATGCAGATCTGTCGAATTTTGAATCATAGTTTAAGTGGTCAACAAAGATAGGCATATGACCCATGTAAATATTGAACGCAAAATAGTTCAGAAGCATTTCGGATAAATGACTAACAATTCGAATGTTTATCTATTACACTATATAAGTACATACAATATATACTGACCGCCATGTCTTTTGACAATATCCTTCGTCGATGTTATTTTCTTGGTATTAATTTTAGTAAAATAATTGGTTTTGCTCATTGTATGAAAATATTTCTTTTTGAAATAAACAAATCAAAATTTGTCTTCGGAAAGAGAAAAAAAAATATTACCCTACCAGATCTTCTTTAGTCACTTGAATGTAATCACACTGATAGAGACCTGATAAAGTTGTCGATGCAATCATTCGCACTTCAAATTGTTCATCAAATAGAGATTTGAATACAAGATCATGTATTCGATTAGCATAAGGACGAGCATTGAATAAATTACAAAAGATCATTGTTTGAACAAATTCAATGGCTACTTGACGTGCATGCCATATGGGACTCGCGCAAACCTATATGTCGACACAAATATTTTTATTATTACCGATCTTGTGTACACATACGTGTTCCAATTGTTGAATGAGTGCTTCCAAAAAGTGCACATGCAAATAAGCCATTCCTACATACAATCGACTGATTGTTAAATTCGTCTTGATAATATCATCATTGGCCACAATACTTTCAATTGTGCAAAGCTTAGTAAATGATAAAAGTGATAAATTGATAATAGACAAACAATTAGTGGACTTACAGAGGGAAAAATACGAATAATTGCATCTTTTACCGGTTGTTGACACCAGAAGAAAATGTTTGTATGTATTTGAATCACTAAATTACGTCACCAGATATGAAAAAGCGAATGCTAGTCATATTGATTAGCAACAAACTCAACATCTCTACCTGTTTCAATGAAATTTAACATTTGACGAACTTCAGAATTGATTTCAATGAGTCGATCAGACATATTAACTAGAGGCAATATTTGAACAAAAACGTCAGAGAAAACAATGTTCTACCTAGTGATGTTTTCTCATATGTTTCGATAATCTGATGCAATCGTTCACGTATTTCGTCGATGGATTGATCGATACTGGGTTGACGTGTCGGTTTTCCATGAAACAATGTCAAGTCGAAACGGAGCGACAACGATAAAATTCTAAACAACAATAAGTTTCTTTTTTTTTTTATTGAACATCAAGAAATGAAACTTGAAATGTTTCTCACATGACCATACGATCTCGTACAACTTTGAATGGATGATCCAATTGTTTCTTGACATGTTCATTAATAGAATACCAGATGGATGGAATGCGCCATTCAAAAATGTCCAACTGTTGAATGAGATACCAACGTGATACTTCATTTAAAGTATTGACCGACGTTTGATTATTGATCAATGCACGAAGAAATTGAATTGGTCGATACATGCGACGTGGATCTTTGTTTTCCTTAAAGATTCATCAATTATATAGCGCGAGAAAGGCTATAAAAAACAGATAGGAAAACAACTGACCATAGCGTATTTGAAGCATGAACCCCAATACAAGAATGTATTGGAACTGAGATTGATACAAACTTCATTGAGAAATGTTGTCAGATGTTCCCAGAGCTCATCAAGCTAAATTCATTTATTCAAAAATGTGTTTATTGATTTGAAATTGGTAAGAAACTTTGCCTACCATTTCTAGTGTCCAACATTTTGAACCACGAATCATGCCAGCCACAATTTCGGCTGCCACTCGATGGCTACCCTTTTGTTTCTCTTTCATCTTTTCATGAATGAGTACATACACTTGCTCCATGAAGTTGTCAATAAATGCAAGACCAAAATTCCGAAAAAGACCCTAGACAATAGCGAATTCGTCATGTATTCAATTCCAAAAGCGAGCTTCGATCTCTATGCAACTTGATAAGCGTTCCACAATGATTGAAAAAAAAAACGTTTTTTTATTCTTCCTACATAAAACTTCTCAAAATCGTTTTGAATTTGGTACAATTATCTTCCGTATTCGTTATATTTACCTTGAACATCGCAAAACGAGTTTTATCTAATGTTATCTCGTCATTGTCACCTTCGTCGTCTAATATCATGAATTGTGTCAATCGTTTAACGAAATTTCTATCCATAAATCGATTATATAAGATAGCCGCTTGTTCTGGCATATTATTTCGTGAGTAACGTTCTCGTTTATTTATTGAATACTTCACTATCTTAGGCCATGTGTTGTAGCCATGAAATAATTTATCCAAGAAACAAGTTTGCTCCCATTCGATCTGTGTTTTGGGTGGAATATAGCCATCGATTGTTAGCCATGCATTATCATCCCGATCACCAGGATGACATCCATCGTCGATGATAGTTATCGATGATTGGCCGTTATTCTGAAAAATTTCATGCAAAGATTTTTCTACATAGATAAGAGGAGGCTTTTGTAACCGACAAATTGCTGCAATGCTCTTGATGGCATACTGAATAAATTCGAATGAAACATTATATTTTATCATGATGAATCAGCAAACCTTTCGTAGTTTCATATTATCATGAACGAGAAGATCGACACATGTTCGAATGCAACAATGCAAGATTGGTGCATGTTTTTGAAAAAGATGGCACATCAATGACATTGCTGTCTGTTGTTGTTTCCACGTCCTGAATGTTCACATGAAAATGAAAAATTTGCAAGATTTAAGGAAAGAAGACTTGCAATGTGTCGTTGATGAGCAACGAATTAAGTTTTTCCATGACGTTATTGTACGATTGAATATTGGCCTGATTTCGTTCTTCATGCTCTTGATTATTTGTTTGCAGTTCGTTCGATTCTAATGGACGCCAGAGAGCAACTGCTGTATGCATTGATTCTTCGTTTGTATTCTGAATGATTTCTGTCGTAACGAACAACTTTCCGATTTTTTGACTGATCTGTTGGATCAAATTTTGTATGCTTATTTTTTTAGTAGGATTGATACGTGCTATCGATGGCCACAATTTTTCTATATTTGTCCATGTGATTTTAGTGGGCAGAAAAAATGAATTATTACCAAGAAGAATATACAGACAACCCTAAGAGAGAGAGAGAGAGAGAGAGAGAGAAATAATTGTTAAATAAATAAAATCAAAATAAATAAGAGACTCGACAAACCTTGACTTGATCATGATCAGCTTCGCTCGTTCTATTCAACACTTCGACAATATGATCGACAATCACATTGTATGAGAAAGCATAACGATTAAGAACAGAGAACAACTCATTTTGTGCAGTACGACGTACCTGAAAGACCAAATAGAAATATTTAATTCTAAAAATCTTATTCAGAAATTTACAACTTACTTCACTGTACCGATGAATCGACAGTTCGAATAATCTGAATACGATTTGTTTATCAATTTCTGTGAACGGTTCAAAATTAATCAGAACAAATTCCTAAGTATAGATAATTATTCTTACAAGCGTCTTTTGAAAGTACTGAAAATTCAGATAACGAGTAAGATTAGAAAAAAAAATATTTTGCTTATGTCTAATTCTACAGAGTTCGTTGAATTAAACGACACAAACACTAATTCAAGTTTCCTACCAGGATTTTTTAGCACTAGTAAAATTTCAAAATGATGATTCATAACAAAAAACAAATGAGTTTTATTTCATAAAGTTTATTATTACAATGCTTCTGATTCTGCAGGTAAATCAAAGTATAGAAAAACTAAATTTATCATTTTCTAGCATGTAATGAGTTCTTTCTAATTTAAACACTAAAACAATTATGATACAACAAAAGTGTCATCAATACGTTGTTTTAGCATTTTTTCCAATAAATTTCATCGTGATTCCATTAGGTGCATTTTTGATAGAAGTTTTGTTGACGGAAATCTCTGTCATGCAAATCAGTTGTCAATGCTAAAACTTTTGATGTGAAATACAAGTTATTTTTCTTTTTTTTAAAGTTTCCCCAATTCCGTCGAAAAATTAGATTTTTCAACGAAATAAACAATATCATAGCGAAATCTATGGATACTTGTTTTCATATTAATACCCTAATTGTATTCAATTAGACAGATAAGTGTTTTCCTTTTATTTGAAATAACATTCATTCTGAATTTTTTATTTTGATTACCTCGATCTGTAGTGCCATTGTTTCAATTGTTAAAAATCGAAGATCTTGTCGTTCATCACAGATTTTATTCTTGAATAGTCTTTTGTTAGAATTAAAAGCTCGACGCCATGCATCAGCATCTTGTCTTGATATACCATAATAGATGGACGACAATGATAAGATCTACATTTTAACAAATATTATTGCTAGATGAATAGAAATTCATGTAAGTTTATATTTGCCTTAAGCGCTTTTTTCATCGATGAAACATCATCCGAATGATTTTCTACAAGTATATCTAAAAATAAAAATCCACTATTATTGTACTCATTTATCCATGAATGACTCACCGAGTAATTTTCCAATATCGGTGACAAGACGCATACGCAAGTTTTCTCTAAATTCTGCAAACGACAACAACAACCATTATGATGATTTTTATGTCTCTTGCATCTAATCGTCTTACTCTGTGCTTTGCCATACATAGAAGTTTGAAATCGATATTTTGAATTGTAGGAAACAACCGATGATATGCTGTAGTAACAATAACATTTCTTTGTTCAAACACTTTCTTATGCTCAATATTTCACTTACAGATTGGATACTTGTTCGTTTTTGAGGCACGGTACCATATGAAAACATCCGAGAGCGATGTGATGAATAAGTGTAAGCGATCTTGATCGTTCATGATTCGACAATTTCAGTTTTTTCTCATTTAATAATGTCAATTCAGGATAGAGAAATGTATCGACAAATTCGCAGGCAAAGTCAATTTCCTCTGCATCTGGAATATGATATTGAACTTGAAGTTGATCAAACTTGACAGGTTGTCCCCATGCCTCAGTAGTTATATCGATGATTTATTCTATTCATGAAATTAGAAGAAGAAGAAGAATGTTCTTACTCGAATCGGCAAAAAGTTGATGAATGATTCGTCGAGATTTTCCGTAGTTAATCGATACTCAATTGGATATACACAAGAGAGTGATTCGAGTAAACGTTTGGCTGCATTAGCCACGATTTCATATGAATCTTTGTGAATGATAGGAATACATCGATGAAAAATTGACATAATCATTTGTTTGTAGACAAGTAGAATATCACCATGAGCACGAACAAGTTCGGAGAAAAGAACTAAATACCAAATAAGTTCGAGATCTTCTTTGCCATTGATAAATAATTCAGTTGTGTCGACATTATTCATAATCTTTTCAATGGATTCACATGTTTTAGGTAAGAGATACTTGAGTGTTTCGACAGGATTACCATCGATCATTGCTCGAACGAGAGCAGAGACAAGACCCCTGACTTTGGATGAAAAATATGCGCCAGAAAGAAATTTTGTTATCTTCTCTCGAACCAACTAAATAGGACATGAATACAAAACATTAAATATATCTGTAAATGAATTGAGATCGAACAAATGTTCTTGATTGTTTCAGTCACTACTATCTATACGTACTTGATAGATTTTGCTACTACACTGTTGAACAATATTACGTAGAATTGATTGAAGTACTAATTCGATGCTTCTATTTTCAGTGTTAATTTCGTCAATAATCACCATAGCATCGGACACATCTGTCGATAATAGTTCAATCATTCGAAACACTCGATTGAGAAATGTACTAATAAAATTTTCAAAATGTATCGTTGATAAACATACTTGTTTTTCGGTCTATAATAAAAGATATCTGTTCTTTCTTTGTTGTTAGAATCAAAGTAAAGTTTCACCTCTGTCAGATCATTTCGAATGTGTATTGCCGATGAACAATCGACACAGACGATAAGTGAGAAAACATTATTCAGAAAGTCCAATGTTGCAAATGTTTTTTTGGAATCATTTAAATCAATTCCCGGTAATACGGACATAAGTAATGGTAACACATACGTTTGCCCCTGAGTATAAGAAGATGTTTGTCGAACTATTTGACGAGTAAGATGTATTAGACAATTCAGAATTGATGTGAAACGATGAGGTTCAGTAATATTATCAATGGCTGAAAAGAATCTAAAAATGAATCAAGAATTTGTGAGTTAAAAAAAAAATTGAACAACAAAAGCCTCTGACTTTTCAACCATGGGTGGTACGATTAATTGTGGTCGAAGCATAGAAAGATATTGACAAGCTTCTGTCGCTTCTTTTCCATGTTTCTTATTGAAAATAGAAATGAAGGCATAGTCTTTGATACAATTAACAAAATCCGTGATGTTCTGTTCTGTTAGCCGATAGGATTCGTGCAGTTGAAACCACCAAAGAGAATGAGCTTTGCGTTCTCTAATAAAAAAAGTCTAACTAAATGAGCTGTTCAACATACGTGCGAGATCTATGCTCACAAACGAACACGATCGACAAAATATTCAGCAAGATTCAAGATGAATTTAACCAGATTTTCTTGAAACTTTCCTGTATTGGACGGATGATAGAAACTTTTGATTGCAATAAATAGATCGCACAAATATTGAAGACATGAATTTCCGTTGCCCAACATGGCAACGATCCATTTTGCAATTTTAGACGGAGAATAATTATATTTTTGTGGAGACATTTGCATTTTGCCAATCGGCAGTGCAAAACCTCTGAGTATACGCGTAAAGATCTATCAGACAAAGAAAAAAAATGTGG